CCCGCCCCCCGACGGCAAAACCCACAACCCCTCCACCCAGGAACCGGCACCTCGTGACCGACCAAGTTCATGGAGGGTGTCCCAGGCCCCCCTGCTGCCTGGTGCCAGGCTGGCCACGAGGCTCAGTCGTCGAAGTCGGGGATGTCGTCGTAGGAGTAGCCGCGGTAGCCGCGCGAGGCGCAGTAGGCGATGCGCAGGTGGTAGAAGCCGGGCAGGAACACCAGGGTGCCGATGATGAGCACGGGGATGGCCCGGTCCGTGCCCTGAGGGAGACAAACCCCCTGAGAAGAGAGCTGTACAGGGGTCCTGTGCTCCTCCTCCTCTCCTGCCTCAACTATTCATCATCGGATCGTTTTGGTCGGAAGAGAACTCTGAGATCAGAGTCCAACTGCTACCCCAGCAGTGCCAGGGAGCACCCACCCCACAGCTCCAGGGCCTGGGCACCCCTCCAGGGGTGGGGACTCCACCACTGCCCTGGGCAACCCTCAAGGGCAAGAAATTGTTCCTCAGGGACAACCTCAACCTCCCCTGGGGCAACTTGAGGCCATTTCCTCTTGTCCTGTTGCTTGTTCCTTGGGAGGAGAGCCCGACCCTCACCTGGCTCCAGCCTCCTGTCAGGGAGCTGTAGAGACATCTACATCCCTAAGGCCTGGCTAGCTGAAAAAAACCCAAACCTCATCTGAAATCAGAAATAACTCAGCTTTCTTCAGGCTGAGCTCTAAGCCCTCCCCCTGGCCTCCCCTCCTCACTACAAGAAACCCTCAATGGAACTTCTCCTTCTGACACAAGGGGTGGCTCCTCCCAACACTGATCACAGAGCAGAGCTGGGTGCTGGAGGCTGGCTGGGCACGGGCTCTCCTATCTGTGCCCAGGCTGCCTCTGATGCAGCCAACGTGCTGCTGGTTCCACGGCGATAAGCAGCAGCTGCCAACCACAAACGGCCCCACTGGGCACAGGGGAAAGGGAGAAGTGTGCCAGCAAGGAGCACCAGGCCAGCCACAGATCATAAACACAGAGAGGTGAGAAGAGTGCTGCTGTGTCCTCAGGGGTCTGCTATCCTCTGCAGAAGTTACCAAAAGAACCTCACTAGAAGAGTGATGGTCCCAGCAGGAAGTTTTTCCAGGACAACAAGCTGACCACTGCTGGGACGTAGTGTTCTTCCAACCTTAATGATTCAAAGGAAACTGTACCCCAGGGAGGACAGACACTGCACCCTCCCTGCCAGATCTCCCACCCAGCCATGAACCTGCCAACTGAAGACATCAGAGGGCTCTGCTGCCAGAGACATGGGGCTATCAGCAAACACCAGCGAGGCCGTGCCAGGGATCCCCGTCCTCCTCACAGGCTGCCTGGGTGTTTTCCACACCAATTTCTACACGGAACATTCACAGCAGGCTGAGGAATGGGCAGGCAATGCAACCTCCCAACAGAGGTGTGATCACACCACTTACACCTTTGCTGATGTATCCTGCCAGGAGGAGGGCTCCGATGATGATGAGGAAGGTCCCGATCATGAAGAGCACGACAGCCAGTGCAATTGCCTTGTAGGGGATTTTTGGTGGGCTCTTCTTGAACTGGGTGGAGAAAAACCCAAACATTAAACAGCTTGACTCAGCACAGTCCCCCTCCTGCCATGGCAGAGGTGTGAGCCCCACAGAGAGCAGAGATGACACGGGACAAACTGCTGCAGCAGCTCTGCTCTGCCCTGGCCCTTCTGCAAGGGACCCTGCCCACGGGGACCCTGCTCTGAGCCAGTGCTTCCAGCCCTGCCCTGGTTTTCACCTGCCTCCAAAGAAATGCATCAGACTATTAAATGAGCAATCCTGTTAATCCAGTTAAGTTCTACAGGCTTTCTGAAGGAGAAGGGCTGAAGTGGTGGCTGGCAGCTCACTCTGCACCTCTCTGAGCTCAGGCTGCTCTGCTGGAGAGGAACAACAAAAAGCAGCAAAGCTCTAACAGCCTTTCCTAGTGCTTTACAGTCTCAGCAGCAGCACAAAGATGTTTCCTACCCCATTTTTTACCTGCAGGTCAATATATCCATCATCAGTGCTGGAGAGCTTGGAATATTTCACTTTGCTACTGGGAATCCCAGCAGACAGGTTTGTTCTCGACGGCATCATTACAGGGGAGCCTGGAGCTCAGCTAGATCCTGGAAAACAAGGAGAAAAACACCAGAGCAGACTGGATGATAGAGCCTGAGAGACACAGAACAAATTTCCTAAGAGAAACAAACGTGGCAAGCGTGTACTAACTAAAAGGCATCTTTGCCTTCTCATAAATTAAACCTTTTTTTGAAAACAAACCCCAAAGCTTTGTATTTAAGCTTAAAATACAAAAGCATGGGCATGGCTGCAACAGGGATTGCCAATATTTGAAACCAAAGTCAAACTGAGGTAGCATTTGTGTCTAAAAACAAGATAGAAACTCCAGAGTAACAAGCAGTGTATAAAGCAGCTCTTATTTTGCAAGGAGATCACGGTTCCAGGCAGGAGATGTCTGAGGTCCCACATTTCTAAACAGGGTCACTAGCAAATAAACCCAAACCAGCACTAAACAAAGCTGCTCTTCAACCAGCCGGATGTTTTGCAATAGATCCACTTTGCAAGAAAAAAAACCAACCCCAAACCACTGGAAGGTAAAATAAAATGGAGCTGTCATGCTCGAGACAGCTCAAGTCATGACTCAGAAGGAGCGTGACAAAGTGGTCAGTGGATGAGGTCACCCCAAGCCCAGGGAGGAGCTGAAGCAGCACAGGTCCCTCCCCTGTCTAGCTGCGAGGGAGGCAGCCCCCAGGGCAGAGCTTTGGCTGCACCAGAGCTGTACCCTGTGGTTCACCCTGCACTGAGGCCAAGCCCTGAGGTTTTGCTGCCAGCGGTGAGTCCTGGGCAGAGGGGCAGAGCCAGTTTGGAGCTGCACCTTAGAGCCCAGCTTGGAATCATTAAGGCTGGAAAAGAACTCCAAGATTGTCAAGACCAACTATCAACCCAACACTACCATGACCACTAAACCATGTCCCCAGCTGACACATCCACACGTTTTTTGAGCCCCTCCAGGGCTGGGGACTCCAGCACCTCCCTGGGCAGCCTGGGCCGAGGCCTCACCACTCTGCCAGGAGAGAAATTCTTCCTAATATCCAACTGAAACCTCCCCTGGAACCCCATTTCCTCTCATTCTGTCACTGGTCACTTGGGAGAAGAGACCAACACCCACCTCCAACCTCCTTCCAGGGAGTTGTAGAGAGCAATAAGGTCTCCCCTTGGCCTCTTCTTCTCCAAACTAAACAATTCCAGGTCCCTCAGCTGCTCCTCCTAAGACATGTTCTCCAGACCTTTCACCAGCTTCGTTGCCCTTCTCTGGACTTTTGAGGAGCTGAAGCCTGTGTCCAGCCTGGCAAGACGTCCCTGACTTGCTCCATCCCCACAAGCAAGGCAGAAAACAGGCTTCCCACGCCTCCTGACTTCTATAGTGCTTTTTATTCCACACTTTCTCAGGAAATAAAGAAAACGAAAGCGCGTATCCCAACTGTTCTGATGGGAAGGGACAAAGATGCTTTTTCTTTAATGTTATTTGGCATCTAAGGCAACAGCATCTTCTCAAACTGTTTAGTCTCTACTTGAACTGAAATCCTTGTTTGCTGGCACATTCCCCTGCCATCAGAGTTGTTCCTCCTGCAGTAAATTTGTCTTCTATAAAAAGCCAACCCCCTCTGATCTTAAACCCCCTCAGCTGTACCTTTAACTAACAATTTGCTTTTATTTTTCTCTAGCAAAACCCAAACACAGATAAAACACGTTTCTGGGCTCATCAATAATGGAAAATAATGGAAACATCCCCTGCCTCCAGGCTAGGAACACCCCCCCAGCCCCTGACACCCCATTTCTCAGGGCACCTCAAACACCCCCAGGGGCAGGGGGGAAAATGGGCAGGGGGGGAGGGAGCCAGGAGAAACCAGCACCTCTGAAGTGTGTCTCATTGCCCGACTCGACCCCGTTTTACCCTCAAGTCCCCCAGGGCCCCTTACCGACTACCCCATTGCTCCCCAGGCTACTCCCGTTCGCTTCCCGGGAACTATTCAGTCACACCCCATGGACCGTCCCGCTCTCCCCA